CGAGCTGCGCGGCGTTCCGTTCGGCGCGCCCTTATTGCACGCGAACATCCCTCGCGTTCGGCACGACGGCGGTAACGGCGAAGCCGGCGCGCGAAGTTAACTCGTCGAGTGCAAGAACGGCCGCGAGATGGCCACCTGCCGAATGCCTTTGTCGAATGCCGCGCGTCTTTCGCAGTCTTCATCGCTAATCGTCCCGAGAGGAGGTCCACCAAAAGTTTATGCTTTTCCCGAGCGATCTCTCCTGAAAATTTTTCCTGAAGAATCGTAATAGCGAAATAATCGAATAGTCATATCAGCGGCTAATTTTATTTTTTTTTGATAATTTTGATACGTCTGTTAATTTGGAGTCACCGCTACAACAAAGCGCTTGTCTCGATGTTCTGCTCGACGGACTGCTTCTTCAGTAGCTACATCTTCTTCGTGTAATTTTCTACGAATTCCGTTTCCCCGTAACACCGATCGCTTTATCATCCCATTGATTAATTGCCGAAGGATAAGCGAACGAAGCTCCTCCCGGAGTTTTCGATTTTTCGGAACGATGCGCGTCCACCCGCTCGCTCATTAACGTAACCCGCGGGAGTGACAAGCGCCATGACACTCCACGCGAGCTCCAGGCCGCACACGCGAATCGTGTCGCGCTCCCGCGCCATCTAGGAATCAAATATCACACGGGGTGCACGCGCGCGTGCTCCTCCCTCCGAGAAATTCGCTAATTACTGGCGACGTTCGGTCAGCATTTCGCTAAATCCACCGCCGCCGCCTCCGCCAGCTGACCGCCGATTAGCCGGAGCATTCTGGCCGCCGATAAAGCTGCCAGTGTTTTGCTTGGCTGCTACCGCGATAACTCCCCATCTTGGCTCCATAAATCGGCCCGATTATCGCGAACCTTCTGCGAGATACGTTGTCAGCACTCGTTCCCACCGAGAAAATTACGCACGAGAACGACCGCGGTGCACGAACCGCCGTTATCAAAAGAAACACACACATACACACATACACACACACGCACGCACGTACGCGCGGCCGCGCGCGACGCGCACACACGCACACACGTACACGCGCGCAAGAGGGATTGCCCACAGAATTTAATACACCTATCGCGGCTCTTCCGAACCACCCGGTGTAAGGAAGCTCCGTGACGTCACGGCTGGACCGGGAAGAAATAAAGGGACTCGGGGTTGTAGCCAAAATATCGTGATCGATGGAGATATTCAGACGGCGCTTGTGATGATGCGCGTCGCGCTTGCAAACCGAAATGAAGATAAATTTCCGAAACTACTCCACCCCCCCCCCCGCCCCCCGTCCCGGCCGCGTTCAATTGCTTCAATTTAATGACGAAAGATGACAGTCTAGATAACATTATGTATCGCTTCTTAGTATTGCGCTACTTTTCCACGCATCGTTATTACGCTTACGCGATAATGAAAGAATATTTGTTCTAATCTAATCTAACCCACTGCGATGTGGTCGCTGTATCTTTTTTCTTTCTTTTTCATTTGAAACATTCACGCAGAGAGGATTAGGTGACTGGGATATTAGGTGAAGAAAATACGAGTTCACAGCGCGTAGACTCATCTGGGGTAAAGTGGCGCAATATTATCAGCGACCGTGCAGCGTTATTTAAATCTTTTTGGCTTTTGAACTTCTCCGAGCGATTAGTTTTTAATGAAGAAACGTTTCTCCAGCTGCGTGAGCGTATTTGACGCGGACTTTGGTACTTTGGATGTTGCGCCGCTGCACGTTTATATTTCGGTTACTAGAGACGAGTATTTTAATAAGTTTACAAATCTGCTTACCTGGTTATATAGAGAGGAAAATATTTTAGTAGATTTATAAAATCACAGTTTGTCTCTATCTTTCTCGTGCAAAACCAGCGAGGCACCGGTTATTTGATGAGAGAGAGAGAGAGAGAGAGAGAGAGAGAGAGAGAGAGAGAGAGAGAGTTTCGTCGCCGAAATCCTGACAAATTTGCGGACATGTCTCCTGCGGATGTTAATACGTACCTTAGTAGAAAATTCTCTCGGCGTCACTTCTTTTACTTTAAGAAGGGCACTTCTCCCGCCGCATGCGTAAGTAACAAACACAATCTGGCTGGTCCATGAGATAAACAAAAATACGCGCGTGTGTGTGTGCGTGTGATAATTTATACGCGCACGTACGGACGCGCGCGCGCGCGCGATAATTTAATGCGCCCGCGCACGAACGAGGCGGGATTTAACGGGGACGCGCAAGCGGCACAATTTTCACGGCGTTACCGCGAGCAACGAGCGAAAATCTGGCGACGACACTGCTGAAAAATTCATGCCTTTCGGAGAAGAGAATATGAGCGGGATTGCGAATAGATAAGGGGGGACACCTGACGCGTATATGACGAGTAACGGAGCATACATGGTCAGACGTTAAATCGATACAACTGCTGGCGCGCGGGGCGGTCCCGCGGGAATTTTATACGGCGTTACCGCGCGCGAAAGGCTCCACTTACTCCAAGAAGTCAAGTGTCGATTTTTCATCAGGGAAGGAACATCGATACTTTACGCGCTCGAGGCTGCGAGAGTGACGTCGGGACAAGGGGGGTGGAAAGAACGAATTCTCTCTCTCTCTCTCTCTCTCTCTCTCTCTCTTTCTCTCTCTCTCTCTCTCTCTCTCTCCCTCTCTCTCTCTCTCTCGAACAGCGCAGCTGATGTTCGCCGGGCGCCGTTTTGAAAACGCGCGTGAAATAATGCCCGACCGTTCGGCACGCACGGAAAGCCGCGGGGGAGAAATTATAGACTCCCGCCTCTTCGGCATTATTTTGCGACTGTACTTTCCTCCTTTCCCCCTTTCGAGGGTGAAATACAGCGGATTAACCGAACGACGTAATCCCCTCCCCCCCGTGCTTCTCCCGCGCCGTCCGTCTTCTTGCTTCGAATTTGATTCGACGGAAGTCTCTTGTTCTTACTCACTGATTTCCGGACTGGAATTTTCCTCCTCCAATATCTCCAATTTCTATCGGAATCGCCGCCCTTTGAGAGAGAGAGAGAGAGAGAGAGAGAGAAATAAATTACGAGGGAAATAAGTGTGATACGGTGAAATTTTTTATTATTTTATTACATCTACCTGTTAATACAAGTAGATCTTAGGACGAAGAAAAACAGTTGTCGCAATGACAGTTATCGATCGACTCGATGATTGCAATTTGGTCGGCGACTCCACCGATGCTTTATTACGTACCACGTCGCACGACGTGTAATTCCTTCGTCCTTCGATGCAATATTCGCACGAGAGCGCTCGCGAATTTTTCTCCAATATAACGTCAAGATAAGGCCACGGTCAATATAATGCGTTAATCACAAGATTCTCCATTGGTTCTTCAAGAGTTCGGCGGAACTTGCGGTTGCGGGGGATTATTATGAGGCGAAACTTTCGCGACTTTCGGGAGTTTATCGGAGAACTATCGATGCCCCGGCATTTTTTGTCAGTGGAAATTCGTATCAATTTGCTCTCGACGAACGGCGCGTTTCAGAGCTCGAGCGTATCGTTTACTGCAAATGAATGAATGAAAGAAATGGCAGTTTCGATCGTAACGTCTGACAAACGATGGCGCGTCGACGTGTACTTTAGACAAGCGGTCGACGATAAATGCGTCTGAAATCAAAGGAAAGGAGAGGAAGCCGAAAGGATAACGTCGACTGGAAAATCCTGACACGTGCGCGTCCGCGACAAGGTAGAGAAGAAACTAAACTAAATCCGTTTGTTTTCACCTCATCGTACCAACCAAATAATAAATTGAAAAAGATACGTACACAAGGCTGATTTTCTCAAAAGTCTCCGACACATTTGCGGTTTTAATTCATTATATTATTTTATCATTCACGGAAGGATATTAATCGATTTAGAGTATTAAGAAATGAGAAGCGTTGGAATTTGACGACACGGCACTTTAGTCTTGCTTTTTCACTAACACAGTGTGAGGAATTAAAGAATAACTCTGCACGAACCAAGCAAACAAAAGTAACAAAAAAAAGAAAACAAATGCAGCAATCCCAAATTGTGACTCTGTCGCAACTCGAGACCGGTAGCCCTCAGAGGGCCCTCAGAGTCGCAGGACGAAATGCGCGCGACAAAGCAGTCGCACAGCGTCGCGATGTCACGCGGCGGACTCGGGGAATTAAAAGCCGAGACGAAAGAAGTCAGGTCAGCGTCCGTTAAACGATCGAGACGGGTCGGCGCGGCGCGGCGCGGCGCGGCGGCCGGTCGTGGCGAAAAACGTCGTCTCTCTCGCGCTCGTCGGCCGCGCCGAGGTTTTGCCCGGCGCAAAAAGCCGTCGAGGTGCGGAAAGCCCGGAGAGTCGCGCGCCGCCACGACTTTATTACTCGGATAGTTCGATTTACGAGATACTCGAATCCAGGTATTTCCCCGCGAGGAAGCGGCAGGACGGCGCGCGCGGGGACGACAGCGGGCGCGGCTGTAGGCAGCAGCCGAGAGAGGGGCCGAGGCGGGGAGGGGGAGGGGGAGATCAAGGACGTTGGGCGATAAATTTTCTTGGCTATAATGGGGCCGTGTGGTGGAACGGGCAGTGACGCGCGGATATCGGGTAGGATTTTCCGCGTCGACTCGAGAGGGAACGACGCTGAAAAAAGGACCAAAGGGAGGAGGACGCGCCAGCGGAAGCGGGGGCAGGCGAGATGGGCGGGGAACGAGACGGGATCGAGGATGTCGTTATCGACGAGAGAGATTTTCCGAGGTTCCTCGATCGCTCTCGGCGCGATCGCTCGCTCGCTCGCGAGCGCGCGATCCCAGATGACTCCTGACGAAGGGAGAAAGAGCAAGAAAGAGCGAGAGAGAGAGAGAGAGAATGAGGCGTTCTCCGGCGCCGAGTCGCTCGGTTCAGTATCGGAATAGAGGTATCGCGCGCGCGGTGCGTCTAAAATTATTTCTCTAGCTGCCGTTGTCTGCGGGGGACGAGCGGTGGTAGTGGAAGCCAACCCTCGGCTCGTAAGCGCATTCCGTCCTCGTCAGTGCGCCATATATATTCGTTGCCGCCTCTCGCCCGCATTCTAGCGGCGTCGTCAGTCTAAGACCGGTCTTTCGCTCTAATACCTCGTTCGTGTCTATAAAGTAAAACCCTCATAAAGCATCGAGGCCGGCGCGCGAGGAATCCCTGGGTCTGTGCGGTTTTCGCGGTGAGCGAAAGTGGCCGGGGATCTTTAAAGTTTTATTCGCCGGGCAGAGAGAGAAGAGAGAGAGAGAGAGAGAGAGAGAGAGAGAGAGGAGGACGCCGGCAATCGGTTTCAGTCATTCCGCATGCAGCCGGCCACCTGCGAAACGGCCGATGCTCTCTGCGAAACTACGAGTCGGGAGATAATCGAAAAGAAATCGCGCGACGAGAGACGCGCTCGGACAGCGGGGGAGTGGAAAAAGTTGGGAAGAAAAAAGAAAAGGAGCGAGCGAGAGAGAGAGAGAGAGAGAGAGAGAGAGAGAGAGCGTGCGGCAATAGTGAAGTGATCGCTAGCGAGATGTTTAGGCGGTGCGTTGGACGGCGTCCAGCGAGTGGGGATTGAAGTAAAATTAAAACGCGGGTGAAGTGGCTTGCGCCGCGCGAGTGAGCTTGTTCGATTCGCCGGTTCCTGCATGCCGCCACTTTGTCGCACTTGGTCAACTTTGTGCGTTTCCGGATTATTCAGCGTGCGAGCCGCGCGGAGCCGTTTCTTGAAGATCGCGCCGTACGTTCTCGGCGGACGAGCTCTCCGGGTCGGGTGAGCGGAAGTAACGGCGGAGGAAGATAAAAATAATACCGCCGCGAAGGATTAAGAGCTCTCTCATTGGCCATTCGAGATTGCGGCGCTGCCCAATTTGCGAAGGAGGACTCGCGCGGCAGGCGAAATTTTTAAATTCTGTTCCCGCCGCTCCCCTGATAGAGGATCCCCGAGTGGCTATTTCTCACGGGCGAATAGAGTCGTTTAATTCCGTGGACTCGAAACGAGAGAGAGCGAGAGAGCGCGAGAGAATGAGAGAGGGGGAAGGAAAGAGAGAGATAGAGAACGAGAAGCCGCCAGACCACCACGGCAGCTTTTTATGATTCAGTGCGGCGGTACGTCTCTTTCGCGCACCCTTTCTCTCTCTCTCTCTCTCTCTCTCTCTCTCTCTCTCTCTCTCTCTCTCTCAGCCGCTCACTTTGCAATTGGCGACAACTCGCCGAGTCGCTGCGGCGCGAAACCTAAGCGGCCGATTAACGAAATTCTCCCTCGCCGTGACAAAATATTTGTACGCGGCTTCTTGGTATTCCGGACGGCGGCGACGCGTTCATGGCCGTTTCTTCTTAATTCTGCACCGGAGTTCGCGAAACGAGGTCACGCGTTCGACGAGGACGACGCGGAAGAGTGCGGAATGCCGGGCGGGACGTCCGGCTGCTGCTGCAAAATTCAAAAGGATCGGTCGCGCTCGCGCACGAATCGAAGTCAGCTGTTACATCGGAGGACACGGCGCATGCGCTGATCACCAACCGGCAACGAGAAACGCGAACGCGAATGCGTAAAGCGCGTGGCCGAAGCTCACTCGCAGGACTCGCGGGCCTCGGCCTCGGAGGAGCCGCAGAACTCCTTTCGCAGCTCGCACGGTTTCATAGAATCGCAAGCACTCTCGCAGAGTGAAAGCCCGAATGCCGATGAATTGAAGAGAGAGAGAGAGAGAGTACCTCGTATGCTGCGACGCGCGAGAACGAAAATAAGCTTCTGCCGAGGAAGTCTCTCTCGTTTTTCGACGCGAACATGCGGTACTCTCCGGTTCATTGACGCTTGCGCTTTCGCTTCGCAAAGAGCGCTTGCAATTCTGCAGCAGCGAGCGGAAAAACATTGCAAACTGCGAAAGCTGCGTTACTACACCGGTGTTGAGCGGTTTCTAGCGGTGAAAAAGACGGCGCCCCGACCTTTGCGAGCGAAGGAAGGACGAAGGGACTCTCTCTCTCTCTCTCTCTCTCTTCTTTCCCACGGCGACGAGGATGATGCAGGATCGCGAGGACTTTTACGGCACGCTCTGCTCGTCGGAGACCCTGCGCTCCGGCAAGAAGGGCTTCTTCCACGATTTTAGCGATTTTGTCGCGCAAACCGCCGGCGACACGTGGACCTCGCGAATATTCGGCAGGATCGACGACGACGAGGGCCGCATGCGGGCGGTGTTCACCGACGCGAAGATACGGAACGTCGTGGCCGACACGCTGGCGAAGGTGCAGCTCCTCTTCCGGGACAAGGACGCGGAGATTTCCAGGCGCAGACGACTCGAGGGCTACCAGCTCGCCGCGGTCGGCCAATACGACAAGGCTCTTTTGCTGTTCAGTCAGGCCGTCTTGCGTGCGCCCCAGCCGGGTAGCTACAAATAGAATAGATTGCCGAGCAATCGGGACGGTCAGGGCCGGCAAGGGTCGCCGGCGAACGAACGAGCGAACGCTCGGCCGGAGCCCTCTCGCGGTCGTCGATTCAGACGCACAGCCGTGCATTTCCTTGATTTCATGGCCGGGAGACTGTTCCCATGCACGCGATATCGGAAATATATTATTGAAGGGATAACAATGGCTGGTACGAGAGAGTCAAGTAGATACAGTCGCGTAAATACAGCGAGTGACATTCGGCCGCAAAGATTCTTTGAGTTGAGACGTTGAGAGAAAAATGTGAAGGATCTGAAGAATTACAAATGGTGAGGTTCGGTGTAAATCAACGCTTGATTCGCATCAGAATCTCCGGAATTTTCTGTGTGATAAAATGTGAATTTCTCATTCGGGGGAATATATATATATATACCTGGCGACGAAAGGAGCGGCGATGCATCCTCAGAGAAATACTTCGGCTTCCTTTGTCGCTGATTTGAGCAAAATTTTGTTTCAAAGACGGCAGAAGCGTCGGCGCAAGTCGATTAATTTCAGTCTCGAACTTGGCCGAACACCGCGGAATAATTTAAGTTCTTCAACTTACATCGAACCTGTCACTTTTGTGACTCGCACTGCACGCGCGCATTATTTAACTTTGGAGTATAATGTTTTCGTCGGAATTATAGATATTGCAATTATACGGAAGTGTTCGGCACGCCTCCAGCGCAATCGAGTCGATTCTTCTCGAATTTGACTTATCAGTTTCGTAACTCAACCTGACGGGACCCTGGAGAAGTCCGCGTTAAATTGCGCATGAAATAAAAAGATGATGTATGTCCGGCCATTGATGCCAACATTCCTCCTCCTCACTTTAAAATAATGAACAACGCTCGGGAGAGAATATTTCATGTTTAGTCTTTCGGCCAAGAAACCGATAAAATGCAGCGACGTGACGCAATTACCGTTGCGCCGATAATTAGAACGCGCTCGCGTTGTACGGAATGTTTATTCGACGGCCAATCATTACCGCAATGGAACCGCGATTGATATATATGCTGCAATTATGCTGTTGTTTCGTTAGCGTTGTTACGTTTGTCGAACGCGTTGTCAACACGTTGCCCGCCTCTTTCTCGACGCGCCGCCGCACCCCGTCGACGTAAGAATATCTGTTAATTAATTCAAAAAGAGGGGAAATAACCCCAGCGATAAAGGGAGAGTTGCGATACTTCCGGTCATTCGGTTCGACTCTCTCCATCATTCGGCTCACGTGCATCTGCTTTGTGTGTAGACCGGCCAAATTCATTACATCAATCGCGTTTAAGATTGAGAACAATGTGTAGTCATTTTTCTTTTTCTATTTCCAAAGTACAGCAATTTCTTTTTTCTCTTTTTGTTTGTGCTTTCCTTTTCGTTTCATACGATACGGTTTGTCGTTTGAGACTGTCCAGTGATATTGACTTATTCCTCAAGGTTAAAATATCGCCGACCTGTCACTTCATGAGTGAAAATTACTTCTACTCTATCAAACGGCACAGCTGCGAAGATCTGCATTCCAGCTGATAACACGTCGCTTGACGTAGCTTTCATTTACTCACGATGGAGCGCGTTAACGCGCAATTTCGAAGCGTTCGAAAATATCCTCGGTTGTTTTCGGATCAAGCTCTCCCCTCTCTCTCTCTCTCTCTCTCTCTCTCTCTCTCTCTGTCTCTCTCTGTCTCTCTCTCTCTCTCTCTCTCTCTCTCTCTCTCTCTCTCTCTCTCTCTCTCTCTCTCTCTCCGTTAAACGAAATATTTTTTTTCGATTTTAATGAAACTCGGCGAAAGATATCAAGATGCGGAAGGAAAAAGACAGAACGCTTTCACGATCTCGTTTACCACCGTTGCTCTCACGATAAATAATACATAAACGAAACGTTTCGCGAATGTACGCCGATCTCTCGCACGCTTGTAATTATGCGATGTTCCAGTGCGTTTACCCATGACTTTTAATTCCATTTGAAACTCGTTGTAAACTTGAACACGCGAAACTGAATGTCAAAACACACGTTTGAGACAAGTATAAACCCGCGTCGGATGATTTATCAAGGAAAACGGGTGCAATTGTCACAAATTGGGACACCGCTGCTAATTGGAACATTCAGCTTACGTAACTCTCCCCTCACCGCTAATTGGACCTTCCCCTCGCCCAGATATTCGTCTGTCGACGCGCTACACACACACACACATACCCGCGCGCGTCCTGAAAATGTTCTCCTGCATTTTTCCTCGGATCGAACATGGATGTGCTCAGGAGAGAGAGAGAGAGAGAGAGAGAGAGAGAGAGAGAGAGAGAGAGAGAGAGAGAGAGAGAGAGAGAGAGAGTCCCTAGAGATCTCGACGATCTTAAAATACGCGCCGGCCAAGCCGATCTCGCATCGGCAGTGGCACCTCGCCAGCTTCACAACAAGTAGAATAAATACGTCACTCGACTCCTGCTTACCGCGTCGCGTCTCGCCGACGTGCGTCGCTGGAAGGGGGTGGGATTCTCCTGCGTTTTGGCATCGCGAGCGCCGTATCGATAAATCGCACTGTCGACGGTAATCGACGAGCGCGATCTCGCGCACGAAAACGGCGGCGGCGACGAAGTCACACACGCGGCGGGGTCGCGATATCCGTTTCAGATAGAAGCACGACGGTTGATCAAGGTCTGACGTTGCCGCTGGCGCTGCTGGGGCGAGCCGAGATCTTTATGGCACTCAAGGAATACCATTTCGCGCTGGAGGATCTGCGGCTGGCCGCGGAGCACGAGCTGCCGGATAAGCCGACGTAAGTCACATACACACACACACACACATCTTTCTATTTTCGACCGGGGACGCGCGTGAACGCGCCGAGATAATGGCGTCGCATCCGGCCGCGCGCGACGTCTCCGTCGCTGCGGGGGGTCGGTCGCGCGTCACGATATTCGCGATCGCGGCCGGATCGGCTCTAAATCGGTCCGGGCAGGCCCGATCTCGCAGTTGGCGCGATACCCGGACGAGCTGCTCCATACATAATGCAAGCGGCGGGGAAATTCAGCGGAGCGAGTTACGAGCCGCGACCTCGATTCGGCGCGAGACCGAGACATCGAGATCGCGCGCGCGGGTCACGCGCTCGCCAGATTGTCGCGAAAGCCATTCGAGCTTTTTCTCTGCGTCCCCCTTTCTCATCTGCTATCCTCCGTGCCCTGGCACTCTGTCTTTGTCCCGGACCATTTCGCGGCGAATCGTGTTTCGCGACGGGAGCTCGCACGAGAACTCTTTCGCGCGGACCCTTTCCGCGAGTCTCCGTCGCGTCGCCGGCAATGCGCCGCTTCCGGCTGGTACTCTCTGTCATTTTCGGACGAGAGCGCGCCCTCTCTCTCTCTCTCTCTCTCTCTCTCTCTCTCTCTCTCTCTTCCTCCCTCTCGTGCGGATTTTCCGACCGCATCGCATCGCGCACCGGTGAATTTAATCGCGAGTATATCTACTCGGAACGCGCCCGACCGGTCCACGGACCGGAGGCGGACTTCGAGAGCCCCCGATATAATGCCGAGGACGCAGGGATGCGCGCGTACTTCCTAAAATATTCAGAAGGGATGGATACCGCGCCGGGACGGCGGCGGCGGCGGCGGCGGCGGCGGCGGCGGCGGCGGTCGCTTACGAACGAAACCAGACTTCGGTTTTAGCTTATCTAACAACCCTCTGCTCTGCCGCCGCCGCGCCGTTCCTGGGTTAACCTCGTGAAACTATCCGTACGGCTATGCGAAGCCTTTGAGCAGGCGAACAATAAACATTTAACCCGCTGCTCCCGAGGATTTGCCCTCCCCTCTTTCCCCCTTCCTGTTCCTCTTCGTTTTTCCCTCTTGTTCTTTCTTCCTTGTTCTGTCTTCTTCTTGCTTTTTCTTTTTTCTCTCTTCCTCTCTTCTTTCCGTCTCTCTTTGCTTTCTCTCGCGATGAAGCGCGAACGGATGTGTAAAGCGCGACGACTCAGGCTCAAATTTTTATACGCCATTGACGCACAACGCTCCCCGAAGGCTCCGGCTGCCGATGCCCGACCGGCTCGTGCGAAACTCGAACTTCGGCTCGGCGAGGGTCGAAGAAAACACGGAAAGGCAGTTGCAAGCACCCTTTTCCCTCTTTTCCACCCCCCCCCTCCCCCCTCCATACTTCGTGCGACCCGAGACAAGAGACGAGTTCCGAATATCGTAAAAGCTCGTATGTACACGCGCGCGCGTCCGTCGCGTCTGCGAGTCGTTCGCTAACAGCGCGAAAAGTGAAAGAGCCTCGTAAACACGAGGGTTATCTGATTTCGAGGTCCATTACGCGCGGGACATTGCCCGCCGATTTTTGGCTCGAACCGCGAGATGGTGTCTTCAGGCTGTAAAAACGCTGGGACGGTTGAGGGGGGGCTCAACGAGAACCGAGTGAGGGCGAGGAGATGGAAGACGCGTACTCTCGCACAACGGAAGCGCGGGCGATCTTCCAGCTCTCCTCGCTCCTCCTCGCGGATCGAGAGAGAGAGAGAGAGAGAGAAAAGCAAAAGGAAGCGGCTGCTTTCGGTCGGCGCTCGCGATCGACGGCGGTTCGCGGACCACCCTGTACGTGAGGCGAGCGAGCACGTGCGATACTGAGCGAGTTAAACCGCCATTATACACCGGAGGAGAATATTATAAAATCCCCCGCGGCGAAATAATAACGAGGGTAATTCGCCCCGCGTTCGATGGCGATCAGCGGGATTAACAACGTCCGCTAACGGCGACGGATGCGATTAAAGGACTCACACGCGCGCGCACGCGCATTCATGTCCGTAAGTGTAACGCGCATCTGCCGCGACTGCTTTTCTTCTCTCAATGAAATCGCGAGGTAATGCCGGCATGACGGCGCGGCGCGGCGCGGCGGTCAGGGCGATTAAAATCTCGTTTGGCTAGGATAATCGAGCGGCGAGTCGGCAATGAGAATTAATCAGTCGTCATCGTGTATGTAATTACAAATAATTTAACGGATCGATGAGATTAATCGTTAATCGGCGTGTATGTCAATGGAGCCGAGGCGAGCGATCGAGGCCGAGTCGTGCGATTCGCACGATCAGTCGTCGCGTGCTCGCGACGCTTAATCTCGAGCGGTTCGGTCGATTCGCGCGATTTTTAACGCTGGATGATGCGTATTAGCGCCGCAAGTAAATCGGGGGAAACAAGGGGAGAGAAATTGCGAGATGTACCTCGTAGAGCGTAAAAGTAGCTGGTGTATTGAGAGAAACTGGCCGATCTGATTCGAAAGCTGGCTCGTAGATGATACAAACCGCGTGATATTTTCTAGCTAACGAGCTTGTCAGTTGTTAGTTTGTTAGTGATCGTAGCGTCGAAGTGTGGAATCAGTTACGTGAGACTCGCCCGGCCATCACATATCGACCATGATAGACGCGATTAAACAGAATGCTGGTGTTTCCAATCGGAATTTCGAAACCGTCCGAATATTTCAGCGGAAAATTGCTTCACTCGGACGAAACATTTTTCCCGCCGGCTTTATTTTTCTCACGGTAGACACGCGGACGAGCGACAACCGGCGAGGCCTTGAGACCCAAGAACAAGTAGAGGTGACCCGGTCACCTCTACTTGTTCTGGAACTCGTACCGTTTGTCGGAATCTCGATACGACCCATCTACCTGTTTAGCGCATCGTTAAATGGAATCGGACAATCGTTTGTCGAGAAATATATTAATACATAACACACGCTTTTATATCGCATCTCGAATAATTTCTCGGGGGTCCTAAACATTCTCCTTGACACCCGTCTGTAGCTTCGATAAACGAGTTCAACGTCGAGCCGATCACGCTGCCGCGTTCGATTCGAGCTGCAGCGCGATTCTTCCTGATTTTGCCGAGCGGGCCGCGTATCTGTTTCGATGTCCGCTGCGCCGCGCTGTTTGTACATAATTGCGCGATACCATAAACAATTTTGGAAATTCGCTACTACCTGTGGATTTAGTGAAATTCAGCACGGTCACGCTTTAACGATCCGCCTCTCTGTCCCCGCTCGCCCCTCCCCCTCACCGCCGCCGGTTTATCGACGCAGACAGGTGCAGTTATCACTGCATCATCCGTAGAGACACGAGCGAGAGTCGCCCCGCACGGGCTGCTCTCGGCGGCCGCGGGGGTGTTTCGCAAAATCGATAATAAAGCAGCGTGCAAGCCGCGAGCGAGAGAGGACGGACGGACGGACGGTCGGAGAGAGCGACGGGCGAGCGAGCGAGGGCTAGCTGTACTGTCAATTAAAATCGCAGCTGAATTAATGACGGGTAGATGCAAAGCTGACGGATTACGCGAAATGAATTTTACTGACGCGCCACCCGGTATCCGTCCCGACCCGTCCCGCGAGCGGTGTTATGCCCCGAACAAGGGGCGGCGGGCAAGGGAGTTAAGCCGTGGGGTTAAGTTCTAATTATAATTGGTGCAATTATCGACAAGCGCCACTTGAAAATTCTCAAACGAGGCGGCACGACGACGGGGGAAGGAGGAAGCACGACGAGGGGGAGCGAATCGTGAGAATGGCGAAACTCCTACTCCTCCTCCTCCTCCTCCTCCTCCCCCTCCCTCCTTCGTAGAAACGGACGTATTAGCGAGGTGATTTTTCGGACGATCATGACGTTTCACAGGGGCGAACGAGAAGAGGAAAAAAGAGGGCCACCGCGTGCGATGCGGGAAAAATGCGCGCGGTATGTAACGACAGAAATTATCGCGATATTCCCGCGAGCGGAGAAATCGCGCGCCCGCGCGCTGCGTCCGATTGTGAAACAGCGTTCTCCCTCACCTCTCCCCCTCCCCCTCTCTCTCTCTCTCTCTCTCTCTCTCTCTCTCTCTCTCTCTCTCTCTCTCTCTCTCTCTCTCTCTCTCTCTCTACCTCACGGAATATGGATTTTTACGAATATTCTCGCAAACAAAACAGACGATATTTTGCGGAGGGGAGAGAACCGCCCGCCCGCTCGCTCGTTCGCTCGCTCGCTCGCTCGCTCGCTCGGCCGTCCGTTGCCGCCCGTTGCAAAATAATGCTCGCGGAATGACATTCGGGAAAACACGTTTGCTTTATCGCGAAATAATAGTCATTCCGTTTGGCGCGAGCGGTAATTGCGAGGGAATATTTTGCGAGAACAAAAGGCGCGAAGATGGAGAGCGAGCGAGCGAGCGAGGGAGGGAGGGAGAGAGGGAGAGGGCAAGCGACCCGGGTCCGTATCAAATTCCCGTTTTACAGTCATTTCCGTGTCTCGCGTTATTATCCGAACGTCATAGTTAAGAACCGCGAAGGGGCAAAAGTTAAGACGGAAAAAGGGAGCTTCTCCCGGTCACGAAGTGCTCGGCGCTGAATTTAAATCGAGCAAAGCGATGCGTAAGACAATTTGTCTTCCCCCGCCAAGCAGCTACAAACGCGCGGCGGAATATTTTCCGTCGAATGAGAATTTTTTAAGACGCGGCAGGGGAGCTGCAAGGGGAAACGCCGCGATCTTCTTACCGGCGTGACATTTATATTTTGCCGTGCTCCATCACTCTCTCTCTCTCTCTCTCTCTCTCTCCCCCCTCTCTCTCTCTCTCTCTCTCTCTCCCTCTTTCGCTGCTCCTCTTGATCTTTCTCTTCGTTACTCGATATACCACAAAACGCAATACATCGCGCGCAGACGAAATCGGCGGCAGACGGGGCTGAGAAATGTCCTGAGATTTTTTTAATCTCACTCACGTGTGACTCAAAATTCATTTTCTCGGGGAGTGAGGGAGAGAGAGAGAGAGAGAGAGAGAGAGAGAGAGAGAGAGAGAGAGA